CGGCAAATGCCGATTATGTTTTAAAAATTAAGAAATTCGTTTACTAAATATAAATAGGATCTAAGATATTAAAGCTATAAATGTACGAACTTAAGTTCCAACTAGAGAGAGCATATATACTCGTATCTTGTAGTTACAGTGATGTATGGTGTCTAATAAAAAGAGATTTTTATTTATCGCATTTGAATGGAAAAAATAAGTTCACTATATATGGAACTTCAAGACTTAGAGTAGTTGTGTATGTCAGGCAGAAAGGACATAAATTCGCATTTCTGGGGTCTGTACTTCTACACAACTGCTCTTAGCCCCTCACTTACCTTATATATTTGCTTCTGTTTCTGTGGTTTTTGGCGGACTTTGGTTTTTGTTTGTTCTTTATTTATGTCAAGTATTTATTATGTATTAGCATTTTTTTGTAATATATATTGTGTTATAATATTATGTTTGCTTCGATTTGTTTAACAATTTTTAATGGTTAACAAAAAACAGTTTTAAAACTTTTAAATTATTATAAAAAATTCAACAAATTATATATATTTTATATATGTATGTATGTATATTTTTATTTAAATTAGAAATTATATATTGTTTGTTTGAATTGTAAAATAATTGCACTGTTTACTTGTTATTTTTTTAAAATGTTTTTTTATGTATTATTTAATATCGTTTTTTTTAATTAATTTAAATGATGAAAATTAATTTAATTTATTTTTTTTTTGTCTGTTTATATTGAATTTATTTATAATGATTTCTGATATTTACTTAGTTTTTCATTGAGACTTTTATTCTTTTTCACTGTTCTGTTAAGTGGACATCTTTTCTTTCCTTACTTTTAATTTCCTTTTTTTTTGCTACTTTAGTACTTACAATATAATTTGCCTTTATTTTAATTTCTTCTTATAACGTATATATATTTATTTGATCATATATAATTAAAACATACAAATACTGTTTTCTCATTGTGTTGTTAAATTATCTTTTCGTTTTTAGTTAAATGTGACGAAAAACCTTTTTCTTATATATTTTCTTACATTTTTATTTATTTTTCCAATTAATTTTATACCTTTTTCTAGGCTGAATATATATTTTAAGTTCATTACAGTATTTTTTTTTTTTGCTGTTACGTCGATCATTTTCAATTTTTTAATGTCAAATGATTTTATTGGAATTGAATGATTCTTACGACACTGTCTTTTTGGTTTTTTTATTTAATTAATTTTATATTATTTATTTTATTTTTATTTTTAGTTATTTTACTACTTTACGTGCTAAAACTATTAACATTGTTAGCTTTAAATTTATTTAATTTAATTTTATATCTTTTGTTTTACTTTCAATTGCGCTAAGTTTATCTAAAGGTATTTTTTCTTCTTCTTGCTTTTTATCATTAATTTATATATAATTCATTATGCAAGTTTTTACTAATATTTTTGGAGTTTATATGCCTTTCTTAAAGTATATGTGTATGTATGTATGTACAACATGTGAATATTTCATTGGTTAGATTTTTACTTCCAATGTATGAGTATATTATTTTAAAAGTTCATTTTAATAAGAAGAATAACACAACATTAAAAAAGCTGATAGTTAATTAAATGCAATGTGATATTTCCATCTAGCTATAATATAATAGTGACACTCACGATCACTAGTAATACTTACTGCCACTAGTAATACTCACAATCACTAGTAATACTCATGATCATTAGTAATACTCACGATCACTAGTAATACTCATGCTCATTAGTAATACTCACGATCACTAGTAATACTCACGATCACTAGTAATACTCACGATCACTAGTAATATGCACAATCACTAGCAATAGTCACGATTACTAGTAATACTCACAATCACTAGTAATTCTCATGATCATTAGTAATACTCACGATCACTAGTACTACTCATGATCACCATCGATGAGCTCATAAACCGAAAACATGACTGTGTAATTCGCTCTGTACTGTTACCATTCAACTCGATAACCGTATATCGAGTTTAAGATTGCAGAAAACTAATGTGAATCGGTCAAACCCCATTACGTGGTGTCCAGAGTCAATTAGAAATAAAATCAGACCTAAAAACTTTGTCAAAAAAAATAAGGAAAAAACCGGAAGACTAAATTATGTTAGACAGTACAACTTTTACGATTGCATTTGTAACGAGCTGTTCGAAAGTATTCGAATAATGTCATAAGAATTTAATTAATGTAAGACCACAAGTTCAATAAACTAATTTAGTAAATTAATGAATCATATTGCTTTTCTTTTCTTTTCTTTCTGTAGCGCTTTACTTGGGTAATTACTAAAAACATCAAACGCTCTGTTCGCATTATTTGAGGAGAACCTTAAATATGCTTTTAATTAGCGCTTCTAGTGCGCATATGACATAATATGCAATCAGTAAAGTGCTGATTTGAAGCACTTTTAATACGTTTTGAGTATAGCTGGTTTTGAAGCACTTTATTCTAATGACACACTAAAATGAAAACATAAGCTGTCTGCTCCTTACTTCACTACATCTTTACAGTGGTCTAATAGTGTTACTTAAGAGCTTGGTTGACTGCTGCAACGAAACAACAGGCAGATTAATAATAGCTCGAGTGTCAGATAATTCTATGGATTACTATTCAGACAGCAATTTTCGCATTACCCATTAGATTAGTTATAAGTATACTTCATACTAATTGTGGGAATATTAATTCAATTAATCATAAGATAACTGGGTTAATAACTCCAGACTTATTTGAAAGATGAAATCAACAAATTAGTATTCATCGTAAGATTATAAGATCATATTTTAGATTACTCTCAAGACAATTTTATAGATTAATCATGACAGTGCAGCTTTGAAAAGTAATACTTTGGATTAGTGGTCATCTGACTCGTTATATAAATCTAGCAATCGCCTTGAATTAAATATGAGAGTAAGTTATTTGATTTATTATTTTAATTTGTGGTAGGACGAAAATCATAATTTAAAATTAATAATTTACTTTTTATTAAGGTCATGTTATTCCACTTATCTGCTGAATTTTTGGTATAGGGGTATTCACGATCTCTGAGTAATGAGCTTAGTAATCGACTAGCATGGTAACATATGGTAAAGTATCAGCAACAAAATACATGTAAACAAAATTTATTTTGTTTTTGTCGCTTTACACTGTTACTATATTACACAATTACCGAGCTTGTTACGTCATATTGTGAATACCCATAATATGTCCGTGTAGTTTGTGTAGTAATATACGTAATTTTGTGTGTTTTATTGATATAAAAGTTTTTCTATATGATTTGTTTTTTTTAAGCTAGCATATTAAATATATAAATATAATTATTAAAACAAAAGAAGAAAAAAACAATTAAAATAATATTTAATATAAGTCATACATAAAATTGTTATAATAAGTCAATCGGAAGTTATATTAAAAATATTTTCGTGTAAAATATGAAATATATATCATTGTAATAAAATATTTCACTATGCTTTCTTAACATTTTAGAGGGAGGGGGATAGAGCAAATATATGTAGATACACAATATACTTATATATGCTTTTTCATGTATTGTAACGATTCATTTTTCTTGACTTTTTATAATACTTGTATAACTTATTTTTTTTAATAAATTTTTTATTTAATATAGTTTCATAATATATATACTTAAAAGTTTTATAGTGTTTCAAAATTTATTTATAAGTTTTTCATTAATTCATTTTTTTAATTTTATTTTTTTTATGATGGAACGAAAACAGTCTTTGGGTATTCATTTTTTATATATATTTAATATAATTTGATTCAATAAGTTACACTATAAAATACGAATACAGTACTAAGAGTTTTTGAACTTGAAGAATATACAAGCCAAAATTTTTATAGACAAAATAAAAAAAATACTTAAATTTAATAAGTAAATAATATAAGTAAATTTAAAAAAAAATCAATTATTATTATTAAAAATAATAGAAAATATATATGTTAGAAAAGATGTAAAAAATAATTAAATTATACAAGTAAAAAGGTTTTAGTTAAAAATATTTTTTTTTTTAAATAATTTTAATAGTTTATTTAATTTTATTTTATTTTTAAGAGTCAAGTGTTTTGGGGGTATTCGGTGTATTTTCTCTTCAATTTCGAATAAATTTTTATTTCGGAGCAAAAGTTTTTAGTGGTTTCCCTAAACTCTTTTTCTTTGTTATTCTTGTTATGATATTAATTATTATTATATATTAAATTTAATTTAAATAACTCAATTCCAGTTGTCTTTTCTCGTTAATAATCGTTGCTGTTCAAAATTTGCTTAATGCAAAACCCCTTCTGTTTTATTTAATTTTAAGAATGTTTATGTTTTTTTAATGTGTAAAAGATTTTTTATACAAATATTGTTGGTTTAATATTTATTTTTAATACATAATAATTTTTATAAATCTAAAGTACTTAAACACACTTAAATAAAATAATTAATAAGACAAATATATGCATTTATTTTGCATAATTAATTTATATTTTTAATTTAAACCGAACATTTACAAATCTTAACTTTAATGATGATTTATGCAAAAAAACTTTGGTATCATTCTATTTTTTTTCTTATTTATTTTAAAATAATTACTTAATGAATTTAATTATTTAATTAATTAAATTTTCTGTGTATTTGATTTTATAAATTGTTTTGTGTTTTGCTTACATTTTTGCAAGACTTTGTTTCGTTCAAATTTCGAAATTAGCTTTTTTGCAAACTTTTATGTGTAGATGAATTTTTTTACAAATGTTTATACCTTTCTTTTTAATTTAATTTAATATATATATAAATATATATATCTACATATATATACATATATATGTATGTATGTGTGTTTATTCAGTTTTTGAAAATTTGCATTTTCCATAGTCTCAGCCCATTTCTTTGGTTGCGCTACATATTTCTTATATTTTATATATACGGTTTCACATTTATATTTATTTAATTATTAAATGGATTAACAAGTAATTGTGGTAGATTTTATATTTTTGTTGTTTTGTTGTTGTTTTTCGTATTGTATATATCAAATTATGATGTGGTTTATGGTTTATGCATTGACTTACAACTCTAATTCAGTATGATTATTAGCTTCTGGACCATACATATTAGCCAGCTTATCAAAACGAGGACCCCACGCACCTAAATAATCATATTCTTGTGCCTCATCATCTGTGCCTGTAATGTGAATAATAAAATTAGTTTAACAAAATAATATAATCTTTATAATTTTTATTTGTTAAGCATATTAATTAAATAATAGTTATAAGGTGTAAGCTTATAATTTTGAGTTTTCGAGTTTTTATTCGATTTGAGAGATAAGCCTGAACTAGCGCTAAACTACACTAATTAATGTAATATTATCTTCATTATTATTTAATGATTACTTGAAGAAATCAATATTTAATTACACATTCACATATACAAAACTGTCCACATATATTATAATTACACCCAATATTCAGCAGTGTTTGAGCGTAGGCCTGTAATTTTAAAAGAATGTAAACATGAGAGAAATATTACACAAATTATCGTACAAGTCTACTTCATATAATCATAACAGTTAAATATTGAATTAGGAAGTTCTAGCGAATGATCTGACAGCTGAGAGGTTTTCTATTATTTTAATGAAGATAAATAGCAAAAATTTTGGCATTTGTTGGCAGATATAGTCGAAAGATATGCTATGAAGTAAGTATACATTATATTCAGCACATAGATATTCTATTAAATAGTATCAAGAAAAGTAAGAGGACCACCTTGCTATATAGTACATAGAAAGAGTATCTAATAGATAGTTATATTATCTGGTGGTTAGATACTTTACTTGGTTGACAGATACCCCAAGTAGTAGACAAATGTACTATCTAGTAGATTGCATACAATATATTAGATAGAAATACTATCTAGTAGATAGATATTTTATCTAGTAAATGCATATACTGTCTAGTAGGTAGATGTATTAACTAGTAGACAGATATACTAACTAGTAGACATATATACTATCTAGTAGATAGACATGATAATAAGTAAATAGATATGCTATCTATTGGATAGATATACTATCTAGTAGACAGTTACACTACTTAGTTGATAGATATACTATCTTGTTGGTAGATATACTATCTAGTAGATAGTTATACTATTTAGTAGATAGAGATACTATCTCGTAGTTAGTTGTACTATCTAGCAAATGGTTATACTATCTAGTTACACAATCTGGTAAATAGTTATACTATCGGGTAGATAGTTATACTATGGGGTGGATAATTATATATCGAGTAGTTAGTTATATCATCGAGTAAATAGTTATATCATCGAGTAGATTGATATATAATCTAGTAGATTGATGTATAATCTAGTAGATTGATATATAATCTAGTAGATTGATATATAATCTAGTAGATTGATATTCTATCTAGTAGAGAGATATACTACCTAGTAGATAGACTTACTATTCAGTAGATAGAAATGATACTAGGCTTAATAAATAGTATTTAATTTACTATATCTTGCCGTAATGAAATACTTTAAGAGCTCAGTTATACCGAACAATATTTTTCTATCGTATTTAAAATACTTTCTTTTAAGTGGGATTATGTGATCAAGTTAATACTATATTTATTATATAAACTCAGATATTTATTCAAATATTATTTACATTAGACTTTATTTTATTTCGATTTCTTTTAAAAATCATTTATTTTCTGTGCTAAAGTTAAACGTTACTTATATCTTTCTAATTAATCAGTTTTTGATATAGACAAAAACATTTAAGTCAATTTTTTTTTTGTTTTCATGAAGAATAAAACAAAATGTATTTATTTTATTTAAAAAAAAATCAAATCTTCGGTAACCAATAACATCTACAACACGGCATGCTTACTAAGATAAACAAAAGCATTAAGATTTTCCTTTGCCTCCATGGTTGCCACAGTAGCAATTTTTTAAAAGCAAGCCAAAAATATCTCTTCAACGTTTTTTTTTTGATGTATCATTTAAATAAGCTTAACATAAACGTACGTACTATATATGCTAAATGCCTTTATAACAGATTCTATAATAAAATTAAATTTATCTAATTAATTGTTGACGAGTGTTAACGAGTACAATTGTTTCTATGAACAACGTTTGTCAAGGACTTGTGCGTACTCCTGCCTGGTAGTGGAAGATATACTCGCCCGCGCAATCGTCCTTAAAGGAATTATTTATTGAAATGCAGACATTTGAGGCGTAAACGTCTGGTATTTTTGCATCAATTAAATTTTATGAATTTTCAAAGAATGTCGTTTTTGCAGCGTTACACCTTTTCTGGTAAGTTAATTCATATTTTCCATTTTATTTGACACGAAACCCATAATTAGACACAAGCCGCTGCTTACATTGATTGAAATATCCTTAATGCTATTTTGAATAAAAGTTACTTGACATATTTTCGTTCAAATATTTCAAGATTTTCTTCTATTTTCTATTTTCATTTTTTGATTTTTATTATTATTAGTTGAATATAAGTCTAGATGTTATATGAAAATGACTACGAATCAATGAATGCAATAAAGAAAATTTTATATACAAAAAATATAATCGTAGTACTTTAGTAGACTTAAAAGTTTCAATTGAAATAATAAATTTTTTTATTATTGAAAAAATTATGAAATAATTTTTAATAATATTTATTATTAGAATTTTTTATTTCGATAATAAAATAAAAAAAATAATAAGACGAAAATTGAAATTATGTTCTTTTAAAGAGAGTACTGGAATGTTATAGCGATAACTGCGAGTATAATAAGTTAATTTATTTATTGTATAGCTATGGTTTATCTATTCATTTTAATATTACACAGTAAGTAAATTTTTTGATGAAAGTCACAAAAATTTAGTGTCTCTTTGGCACAAATTTGACCTTTAGTACTTGTGATCTACAAAATTTATAAAATTTTCAATGCTTATAAATGGAATAGGGGCAACTACTAAGCAAGTTTTATATGTACCTTCAATGAACATTGGGTGCATACAGGTAACTCAATTACTTTCTTTTATTAAATACCTTTAAAATATTAGCAACTACAGAAATACAAGTAACTTTCCATATTAAACAGAAGCCTTTAAAAATACTGTAACTATTTTTTTTAATCATTGCATTCACTACATATATCATATATTATCTTATATGATACTATGATATAGGATATATATGATTAATTTTTGAAATATAAGCAATATAATAAATCAGTTTTTAAGATGGCAAATGTTATATACCCACGATTGCATGAGTGCACACAATCTTTTTAAAATAAATATTTATAATTTAATAATAAATATTAAATTAAAACAGTATCAGGACACAATAATGCCACTATTTAATATTTATAATATTTATTTCAATATGGAACCTTATAAAAAACTTAAATATATAAAAATGCTATAAGTTTTAAATGATATTATATATATATTTTATTAAATTACAAATTAGTGTTATTTAAAATTATTTTATCCAATTTTTTTTTCTGTTAATTAATATGATAATACAATTTACTTACCTGAAGCTAGTGAACTAAGTGAACCGGCTGTGCTGCCGCCACCTTCGTAGGCATAATTACGCAAATCATCAAAAGGTGGAGCGTTTGGATCCCCGTCAGCACGTTTTTTATGCTCTTCAATAAACATGCCAACGTTGGGTTCTTGACCAGGCATTAATGTCATGACAGGGTCTGTGCAAAATCAAAAAACGAAAATAATTATTATTTTTAAATATTGCAAACTAAAACTGATATGAGGTATTTGTCAAAATAAAGTTAAATGAATTCCTTTGATATTTTTTTATTCTTACAGACAGCATCCTGCTTAGACTGTCTATTCATCAACTTTTCTAATCAAAAAAGGATGCTACTTGTTGCATATTCTATTCCACCTTTTTTTCTTCTTCTTCTTCTGCACTGATAATTTGTTAAACAAGTACTTCCTGTGCATTATTATTCAATATGCATGTTTGTGTTGTTATTATTTATGCTAAAAGGATATGCAAAGTATTGCAAAAATTATGAAAAAGTTGTGTAAAAGGAATAAATGAACAAAAATTTGCAATTTACAAACGAAACAGGCACTAATAGAGCTTTGTAAAGAGTTGGGTATTGAAGAGTCTGTCATGTTAAAGTTTAACAATTTACACTAAGCAGAGGTTTAAATGACTTAAATGACAAAATATATAGGCTCGACTGCTAATAACTATACAATTTTCTATATATGTTATTATTTTATTCGAAATAAAGCTACTTTTAATATAAAAATAATATAATTATTACAATTCATTCCACTTACACATAATTGGCATTTTCATTGGTGCTAGCTCTGGTGGCATTGGTCCACCAATTGGTATTTGTAATGGTGTTATGTCAAATGCAGTCATATCGTCTTCGCCACCACCTTCATCATCATAGTTAATAATATTCTCTCGTACATCATCATCCGGTCCAGGATACTTGATATGCGCCTCACGACGACGATTATAAACCACGAACACCAGAACTAAAACTGTTAAAGCACAACGCCAAGGGAAATTCATAAAAAAATAGCGTTGCAAAAAGGAACAAAAAAAAAAAGAAAATAAAATATATACATATTATTAGCATTTTTAATGATTTTGATTTAAATTTTATTTGCAAAGGTGTTGAGATACATTTCCCATGCAATGAACAACATTGAAGTGTTATAAAAACTTAACACTTAAGTTTATGTGTACACGTACTAAGTTATATCCATCTACTTTCATTTACTATACATATCGATAGTTATAAATATACAAAATACTTCAATGCAAATTTAGATATATATACATATAGAAATTAAAATTCATAACAAAAAAGAAAATGAAGATTGAAATAATGAATTTATACTTATATTACCTTTAAATACTGCTGGCTATTTTGCATGTAGCCATTTATATGTTAGGCAACAATATTGAATATTTATTTTACATAAAATCGTATAAAAAAAAATGTATGCTTATTTTATTTGAAAAAGGCATGCAATTTATTTGAAATAAAATATTTTATGCATTTTATTATGAGAAATAATCACATATGTACTTATTGAAAATGTGTGCTCTGTTATATCAAATAAAATGCAAGTGAGTTCAAGAGCATTTGCATACGTGCAAGAAAAATGTGTCAGGACATCATTAAAATAATTTACAGACTTATTTTATATATATATATATATTTAGTTTTTCAAATTTTCAAATGTGTGCCAATGTTATATATATCAGTGACAATGAATAAGAAAATGACATTTAAATAAGATATTTTATTATTTTATTTATTTTTATATGAGTTTTAATATCATAAAATTAATTTTTTATTTAAAATAAAATGCACTTTATAACACCTTTTCATTTGTACATTTTATTTCAGTTACAATAATTCTTTAACATTATTTCCATTAATCTATAAATCTTATTAAATATTAATTATTTATTTTATTTAATTTATTTAAGTAATTTTTGCTGAATCTACACTGATTAGATTTTAGCAAGATTATCCAATACAATCTCATTTTTCACCAAATTACACACATTTTTGATTCAAGAAAAAATTTTGCATTCGAAATTTGTTATGTCTAGACAGGCTAGACATAACACTTGCCCATGTTTAGCCTGTCTAGATGCCCAGTTATTTAATATGTCATATATAACGTGTATCGATTTTCGAAATATCCAACTATAACTTTATTTGTATATTTTATTTTGGTTATAACAATTTTTTAAACAAATTTTAATTAATCTATAAGTATTAATTACTTATTTAATTTATATTATGAAGTAAACTTCACATATTCTAGACTGGCTAGATTCGAAAAAGATTTTTCTATTCAATCTCATTCATCACCGAGACATTCACATTCTTGTTTCAAGAAAAAAAACTGCATTCGAACATGAAACTTGCCAAAGTTTAATGAATGTAATTTTATATGTCATATATTACGAGATATCGATTTCTAAAGCACTCCTACTGGCTTTTATATAAAAATTTCCAACTCTAAAATCTGATATCTCGAAAAATAAGCTCATTTGACATATAGCACAGCGGAAAAATTACTAAAAAATTTTAACAAAATCTCTTATTAAATGGATGTATTCGGAAAATAGATCTAGTGCCCCAATTCGTTAGTAGTTTCCATGAGTTTCAAACTTATTTTTATGAAGAATTAATTCAGTGCACTGATTTCAATATAATCCATTTTAAAGAAATGCTGAGTAATTAATTTTAAATTGGTTACAAGAAATTGGTTTGATGGATTTCAAAAAAATATTCTTTTAGTTCTTACGGAAGGTTCAATATTAACATGTCATCAATTCAATTATATTCAATTATATTAATAAGAAATAGATGGCGCTAAACTAATTTATTGAATAATTTAATATAAGTGGTGAGTGGTTTTATATTTAAGGGTAAATAATTTCAAATTTCTAAAACAATATATGAATAAATTCATATATTATATAAAGTTTTTATATACTTTCTAATATTGATTTATGTTTATTGGCATTTGCTGAAAAAGGCAAGTAAAAGTTTTCGCTATAACCGAATTCTATTTTCAGCTATATTACCTATATTCTAATTCACTCTTTTCTCCATAACTTTATTACATGAATTTTAGATAAAAATATAATAATTATATGCAAATAATTAAGAAAAATATAATTTAAAATAAATTTTTTAAAGGCAAATAAAAGTTTATGCAATTAAAAATTCAAAAATATTTAAATATTAAAAATATTTAAAAATATTTTATTATTTTATTTGACCAATTAAAGTGCATCTACTAAATTTTGTTATTATTATTATTAAACTATTTTTCAATATATCAATATTTTAAATAAATATTAAAAATAAACAATGAACGAGTTCAACCTATTTTAAATATTCATTTAGAATTGCATAAAATTTGCAAATTAAAAAAAATAAAATGAGAACAATTACAGGGTAAAGTATTATATATATGATTTGAAATGTAAATTGTTATATTTGTTAGCATTATTACATATTAAGTAAAATGAACATAAAATTACTTATCAAGAACAAGAGAATATGAAAGAAAAGAGTTCTTTCATGGCATAAATTAAAATATTTTCTCATTATAGAATTACAGACAAATTTCTTGTTGTCATTCATTAGGGTTGGTTGTGAGGGTTTTATAGACGACGTTGTTATAATGTTAATCAGTTCTTGAATCCCCCAAATTCAAGAACTCTCATGACCCGGATAAAAATCTTTTTCATTATAGATTTATAGTCAACCTTTTTGGATGAGTTTGAGAATTTTATATCAGTTTATCTTAAATATTAAACTTAATTAAAATAAATATCGATGTATTCAGACATGATTTTTAATGACTTTATAGAATAAAGTTTGATCCATTATCAATCTGTCATAAGCTACTCTCTTGTTATAATTGATCATAGCTATATCGATAGCCATATTGATTTTATGATTTTTTACCAACTGTGGGCATTTGTAAATGAGGAGAAGACCACTCCATGAATACTGAACGAGGTAACAAATAAATAGTCTAATGGAAGCAATAGTTTAAAGATATTCGTTTAAAAGTATTATTATTATAATTTTAAATACTTTGAAATACTTATTGTTACTAAAATCTATTTGACTTTAAAAAACACAAATTTTTTTAGGTTGGGAGATTTAATAAAATATAATTTTAAATAAATTCATTAAAAATAAATGCAAATAGATTAATTAATTTAGACTATTATACTGCAAGACCGAAATTGTTTGAAAACCTGGCTTTAGTTTTAAAACTGACAAATTTTTTAAAGTTGGGGGATCTAACTTTATATAATTTATGATATATACATTTATTAGAAATAAACACAAAAACAAACCTGGTTTTAGCTTTAAAACTGACAAACTGACAAAACTAACAAATGTTTTTAAGTTGGGGGATTTAATGACAAATAATGATATATATATATATATTGAAAAATATATATGAAATTGCTTAAAAACCTGGCTTCAAGAATCATATAATACTAAAAGAACCAAATATGCATATTACTATATACATTGTACATTGTTATGGTATTAATCGCTTGATATAACTACTATACCATAACATGTGAATTCTAACCATATTCCTGAAATTTGCGCTGCTTGTAGTATATTAAAGGCTATTGTATAGGCCTTGTATACATTTTGCTTGTATAATTTTCATTGAAGGTCCGTAGAATTAATTAAATTCAATTGAATACTATTTCTGTTTATATTTCATTGATTCACTTCGTGACAGACTAGCGCTGTACCACTCCATTCTGCTTCACGCCACTTTACTCCGAACCAGTTCAATGCCACTTCACGCCATCACTACACTCCACTCATGGCTCGTAAAGCTCAGCACAATTGCATCATGGTATGGCACAGTTCGTTGATTTTGAATGTAGTTTAGTTGGGAGGACTTGCATTTGAGGCTATTGGATTCGGGTTTTGTTTCCGTTTCCGTTGCTATTTCAGCTCGATTTTGCTTACTCCTGCTGTCACACACAAATTATTGTTTTTGGCTAGTTGGGTTGTAAATTTGCCTCTTCATTTTTGAAATTTTTTTCTTATTTTGGAGCTTTTGCATAATTGAACAGTTTTTCCATTTGGTCATTTTTGTGAATTTTTATGGTAATGAGTTTTGAGTTTATCCTTTCTTTACGGATAGTAAAAACTTTTTTTGATCTCTAAAAGCATAATTGATATAATTTGTAATATAATATTTAATAAGGTATGGAGTATAATTTTATTCATTTCGCTTATAATTTGATTATAAAATTTGTCATTTATGTGAATTTAAAAAAACTATGTTTTATCATATATGGTAAATTATTAATAGAAACCATGTCAGTGCTGTTGGTGAATTGGAATCAGTGAGTATATAATTCATATATGATTTACAGATATGCTCACCGTGCATACAACCTAGGGAGGCTTGAGGAATTATAACTCACAGAAATGAATCAAAAGACAGTAACTATATATATGAATATTCATTATTAATAAATCGTGTTTATTTATATATCTTTTAAATTTCTGAAATTATCTAAAAAGCCCTCATAAAATAAATTTCTGGCTATGAAGCGAACAATCTAAATACATACTATATATACATATATTACAAGAAAAACGATTATTCACTTTTTTTTTACTTAAAATGTCTCATATAATTTTAAAATTGTATAATCCCTCTATAAAAGAATAGAGGGAGGTAAAAGTAATGCATTACACATATAATTTATTTATAATATGTAAAAATGCAAATATCACAGCTAATGCATTATTTTCCCTCTATCCTTTCAAATAATTATACAATTTTATAATTATATGAGACATTATATATATATTTAAATTTCCTTTTAACTTAAACTGTCGTTTTAAGAAAATAGTTGATTGTTAAAAGTGACTATTAGGGTTATTACCTTCCAGTATTAAAATAACATACAAAATCTAATAGCTTTAATGTAAATCCTTTATAAGCTG